AGAGATCACGAATCCCGTAAACCATGATCAGGAATCCAAGCGTATAAGACACGGCTCGGATACCAACTGGAACACCCTCCATGTCGTTTATATAATTAAGAATAGTTTTTTAGAAAAATGGACTTTTAGTGAAACCTTCGGATCCTATTTGATCCTGTAGAAAATAAGTTTGGAAATCGTCAAAGCATTTTTCTTTCTTCAAGACATAACCCACATTTGAAAGATATAATTTTCATAAAGAGTGCTACTTCAACATAGACGGGGTTTTAAAGCAATACTTGTAATACAGCGGAACACAAAATAACTTTATTTTACATACACCCCGGTTTAATAGACTAGATTCCTAAGGAGAGTACATTATAAATACAACTATAAACTTCTCAAGTTAAAACACTTAACGAGAAAGTGACTGATATAATCTTTGAAAATAGTCGGTCGGTATAAAAGCTCGTGATTCCTCGAACTCCGCTCCACCAGTTTCCATAACAGCTTCGAGAACCTCAACCTTGACATGGGCGACGAGTTTCCCCTGCTTAACGTATACTCACAAGGTGTACTCACGTAAACAAAATGGTGTATTAACATGGGGATGCAACGACCACTTAGCTGTAGTACATATAGACATCAAGTCCCTATAGTCTGTATTAACAAATATAACACATAAATGCAATATGACGGGATACCTATCAGATTCATAACATGGTTATCGGTAATAGACGTCGATATTCTGAGCCCGTTTATTAATGGAAGCTATCCACTCTATAGTCTATAGTACCGTAGTTGGAATACCGGCCCCTCCGTATTTCCGTGTCTACTCGACCGATAGCCATTTAAGATTCTGACTTCCTATACTGACCATGCAATATCATAAATGACAAATCATATAAACAATTCAAAACGTATAAATAAACATACTCATACTTATGTCAATACAATTACTATAATGTGACGGTATCCCTAGCAGATTCATAACATGGTTATCGGTAATAGACGTCGATATTCTGAGCCTGTTTTGAGGGGAGCTACCCACTCTAGTCTATAGTACCGTAGTTGGAATACTGGCCCCTCGTATTCCCGTGTCTACTCGACCGATAACCATATTAAGATTCTGACGTCCCTATATACTTGACCATGCAATACCATAAATGACAAATTATTCAACTCCAATAATATAACCATGTTAGATCGAACTTGCGCTTAGCATAATAAACACATAAACGCCTAACAACATAGCTAACAAACATATTCAAACCATTTTCTTCCTTAGAACTTCTTATTCAAATGACTCACATAATTAATTCAAAACACATAAATAAACATTCTTGTAATTCACATATATTATGCAACGTACACGTACCACATACAAGAGGTATCACATACAAGAGAAAGGGATTATCATATTATTTCATATAACCACTTTCATAGTTATAGCATACCAAAGTGATTATCTTAAATGCATCATTCATGCGTTTCCTAATCTATACATTTATGTGAACATATAAGCATACGATAATCATAATAGCACATACGCACATAATATATGAAATCCGAATCCACATAATATCTGGCAGATTCGGTACTTCAACTTTGGAAATTCATATATCTTTAAACCGTACATACAAACATTATGAAATTTTAACACAACGTTCATATATATGTGATTTATACCATATTAAAACAGTTCAGAAAAATACCCATCTGTGGGAGAGGAATAATTCGTTTAGTACAGCAACATCAGCAGAATTTCAAAACAGAGCATTCAACTTTAAAAATACTAAACAAATCATTCTATCAACGAAACACCATGAAATTTCACGAAGAATCAGATTTATAAGTCTATAATCATATCCAGTTGGAATCGCATGAATCGGAACAAGATAAAATCTAATTTAACACAAAATTCATAGATGGCTCAGAAATTTTGCAGTTTCAGAAAACGGTTCATAACTTGATCAATGTAATTCCGATTTATGCATACCATATATCAAAACGAAACTAACAGAAACATCTACACACACAATTAATTTCATAATTTTCAGAAAATAAATCATCGATGAAACATGCACTGGAATCTGAGGCTACGAATCTG